TCCTGTACGTGGGAGATGAGGAGAATCATAACTTCTGGTTGCACTCTCTCCACTTTCATCTCCTCCACCGTCGCTTTTCTCCTCCACCTTCCCCTTATCACCTCTCCGCTTCCCTTCTCTCCCGAGGGAGCGAGTGATGTGTCGGGAAGAGGTGAGGTCAGGGCCCGTTGGGCTGTGAAATGCTCCTCATAACGGTCGACTCAACCGTGCGAGAGTCTGTATGGATGAAACCCGTGTGTCTCGTTGGATCTACTCTCAAGTCGCCGAGATTCTGCCAGCTGTCCTGAGGCGTAATCACTTTACATTCTCTTCAGGACTGGAAATGTGTTTAAGCTGGTCTCTCGGTGTCACGTTCCCATTCCCGCTGCCGACTCTGTATGAAAAGTGTGCGAGATTAATTACACACTGATTTGTTTCTCTTGTTCTCTGCAGAGCATAACCAGAGGAGACAGTATTGATATTTCATTATGGTGTTAATAAAGGTCAGCCGCTATTGAGCTCTCATTAATAGAGTCGAACTGGGCAATATTAACGAGAAGACGCAGGTTTTAATGACTCTCAGTGTGTCCGCGGCGCTCTGCAATTCTTTAAGTGCTTTAAAACAGTGAGACAGTCCCTGACCTGTCTCTTAAATGCGACTACCTGAGGGAGAGAGAAATATGAATGGGGTAGACAGAAGGATAGAATGAAAGACTCAGCTTAAACCTGTCCAGTCAGTCAGTTAGTTATTATAAAGTTTCCCATTAAGAAAACTGGTTTCAAGACACGCTTCCAGGCATCACAAGGGCACATCAAATGAGCTAGAACAAATTCAAATGAGCACTAAAGATAACCAAATTAATATGTATTTACTACATTGAATATTTCCTAGAAGAAATTGTATCAGAACAATCATCAAACATGAACATTTTTTTCTACTTTGAAACTTCTAACAGCTGAATCATAGCAGAGGATTATTGTAGACATGTGAAAGACACATGCTATGCTGTCTTCATCAGACCAAAATAAGGCATCTTAGACAGGATGCTACTCAAACATTGATTTCAGACATGTCTTGATACCTTCCTCCTTCATTATAATACCTGCAAAAGCAGGGTTTTTTTTTAAATATAAGGCATCATAACTAAAATTGTACTAGGTCATCGGTTCACAACAGGGGGTTCGCGGCCCACAAGGGGGCCTCAGCGAGCTCTGTGGGGGGTCGCGTCATATTTTCAAAAGTTTTGAGCAACGAGCATTAAATAAAAGTCCTTACTTATTATTTTTTTTCTGTTCAAAATGTATATAATGAGCGAGTTCATCATGAAACCATTTTTCAATCCGTGTTTTTGTCTTATCCGGGACCACTATGGTACACCTATAATAAGTGTTTACAGTGGGACTATTTTACACTGGTTCGGATCGCTGCCACTGTGGAGTAGCCCAGTACCTGTGTGACTTGTCATAGACGTACACAGAAAGAAGTCGTTTCAGCTGCAATGTTCTTCCGAAAGACGCATTATTCTGTTATTAAACGCAAGTTTATTATCACTCGCTAAAGTGCCAAAAACGTTTAAAAAAAAAAAAAATTGCAATATTGAGACCCCAGACAGCAGTCATTTAGTAATAGCCTATTTTCTTTTTTTTTTTTCTTTTTTTTCTTTTTTTTTTTACTTGAACACCACTGTGAATATTTTTTTTTTTGGATTTCAATATATAGGCTTCTCCTAGGCTTACGTTTTTAAATTACAAAGGGCCTACTCATGTTTTTGTCATTGTATTTTCAATATTATAGGCTATTATTTGTGCATAAACATCTGGTTAAATTAAACATACTGTTTGTTTGAAAACAACATATTTTGTCATCCTTGCAAATATCATTAAATGTGAAGGTGGGCTCTAAAATATTTTCTTGGGGAAAAAGGGAGTCTCAGACAAAAAAGGTTGGGAACCACTGCCCTAGGTGACCGATTTGGATGCTCTACATCATGTGTCATAAATAATGTCAATCAATATGGATAATACTTTATATACACAGTACCTTTTTCATAAATTTGGGTATTAGTGAAAATAAAAAAAATCCAAGGCTGCATTAAATTGGTCAAAAGTTATAATGAAGACATTTCTAATGTTACAAAAGATGTCTATTTCAAATAAACAATGTTCTTTTGAACTTTCTATTCATCAAAAAACCCTTAAATATACAGTATAGGGTTAGGTTAGGTTAGGTTAGGTTAGAATTGGGTTATGTATAATGGGTACACAAAAAATAATCAGCATGACTGTATTTAACATTACTGATAATCAAATGTTTCTTGAGCAGCAAATCAGCATACTGTATTAGAGTGATTGCCGAAGGTTCATGCCACGTGACACTGAAGACTGTAAAGATTGAGTAATGATGCTTTTACTGATTTTACAAATTTTACTGTATTTTTCGATCAAATAAATGCAGCCTGTGCATAAGAAACATCATTCAAAACCATGAAAAAGTCATATCTTGGTAGAAAATATCACAATTGTGCTGCTACCTATGTAGGCAGTACTAAGCCAGAACGTCAGAGAAGGCATTTCTCCGCAATGTTTAGTTCTAATCAGATTTATGTCCCATGTTCAGTCATCTCCTAAAACAAAAGGAAGCCATCAAAGTAAACCCATCAGGCTCTTGTGAGGGTATCCATTGCTTTACAGCAGCAGTCAGCCTCCACCCTCCAAGACATCCGTCCCCCAGACCAGTCTCAGTGGGACACTGACTCGTCCTTGACTCCCCCTACTTCCTGTCTGCAACAACAGAAGGCTTTCGGCCAACCGGATTAAATTCGGCTGGAGCTGAAAGAGGCAGAGGAGAGGCTTTGGCTCAGGCTCAGGTCTGCCTCCTCCCAGTGTGGACTAACTGGAGTCAGATTCACCCGAGCATGGACAGGGGCACAGTTTCAGATCTGTGCCCAAAGGAATGTTGGCCATGCAACAACAAACACTTCGATGTGTGTGTGCTTGCATGTTTCTGTCCATCTGTTGCCCTCGCAACCCCTGCTTTTCATCCGTGGTTACAAATGCTGTAGGTTGGTTCATGTCCGTTGATGAAGAGTTGCTTTTTGCGCACTGATTATCTCTGTGCGTATGCGTGTGGGTGTGTATCTTTCCATAAATACAAAGTATAAAAGCAGAACAAAGCTCACAGTAGCCTCTTGTCCTAATTAACAGAAAAGCCTGCACACAAGCAGACAGACAGTCAGACAGACAGATGTTTCCCCAGATGAAAACAAAGAGCTGCCATTCCCCAAATATACAGTCTTAAAGTCTTTGTAAGATGGCTTTGTTCAGGCTTAGATGACAAAACAGGGCCCGCGAGCCAAAGTTGGCCTGTGATGACCTTTGATTTGGCCTGCCATGCCATGAGAGGAGAAATACAGCCTAGGAAAAAAATAAAAACATGTCATTGAAGTAGACTTGTGCCGACATATGGTAATACTCTTTATTGCTGCAATTATTATGTACAATATTGTTACTTTATGGGCTGTTTAATGCCAGTTGTGTGCCCCATATGACTGAGAATGAGAGTGTAAACAAAACCCATTATGAGAAGTATGTCTGAAGGCGGACCGCTTAAGACTATAGGGGTGAAAAAAAAAAGATCTATCTGACGATGAAAGTGCATTATGGAATTTAATAATCTTTTATGTGAATTATTATTATTATCACAAAGGGCGTCTCCGCGGCCACAACAAATGTGGAGCATGCGAGGTTGAGGAAAAAAATGCACACTTTAAATTAAGAAAAATCAAGCTGCTAAGTTTAATTTCTACATTGTTATCCATAAATGGGTCCAACTATTTTTTTTTTAACAAAGTTCATTTTTGTTTTCTTCCTAATGCAGTTGTGAGATTATGCATAATATTTGGAGGATATGCATTAAATCTTATATTATTTTTATTTTATTTATTTTTCAACGCAATCAATAAATGAAAGAAAGATGGCATCAGTGCATTTGTATGAATCAAGATACAGCATTGTCATGGACAACAGTGAATGAATAAATGCTGCGACTCACCCATCATTTATTATAGAGAGCCATGTAGCACACGCAATTTAGTTGTTAATTTAATTATCAAGCTGTATGCTTAATTTAAAGATTAAAGTTTATTGTTCTTTTATAAATAACATTTATATTTTAATCAGAAAATGTTCTGTCACATGAAATCCAAAACTACTTTTCATATTTGCATATTATAAGACATAATTTGTTTGTGGATTAATTCAAGATTCTTTCCTTTTTTATTTATTTTTTTAATGTCAGTTGGTGTTTAAAAAGTAACTAAAATATCATTTAAGTTTAATATAACAGTCTGTATAATGCAACTTTTGGCACACAGACCTCGATCAAGTTTGATTTTTGGCCCATTTAAAAATTTATTCATTGAAATCAAGTTGAAATAATTATAAGAAATAATTTGATGAAGAGTGTACATAATTAAACAGAATTTAGAATGTTTCCTTTGCAACTAATTTAAATAAAATAAATTAAGGACTATAATTACAAAAAAAATTAAATTAAAGCTAAACGCAAATATAATGAACTAATTAAAATGACAAAAGCACATTACAAAACTATTTAAACTTTAAACTAAAATTAAAATCTGAAAATACAAGCAGACTATAGTTACAGTATAGTGTAGTATACTATTTTATACTATACTATTTTGGACTACTTATACTATTTCATTTAGGGCTGTTGTATGTATCATTTTACTATGGGATTACCATATCATTTCTGGGATTACCATATCATTTCTGTGTAGTCGTTCCTAGAATTGAAACCTGAATAAACATCCTAAACTAGTTTTTTATTTTTATTTTTTTTTATTTTATTTTAATTTTTTTATTTTCCTTATTGTTTCAATGCTAAAAATGCATACAATCTTTGGATCTGCAGTCCTCATTTACCTGTGTGGTGTGCGTGTGTGTGTGTGTGTGTGTGTCTCTTCATTTGATTGAAATGGACATGTTCTGTGTTGTTTCAGAAAGTGCCTCAGTACACCATCATAGTGCAGGCCACTGATATGGAGGGAAGTCTGAACTTTGGCCTGTCCAACACCGCCACGGCCCTTATTAGCATTACTGACATCAACGACAACCCGCCAGAGCTGGATGCTAAAATGGTGAGTATCCTAGAATTTAAACAGGGAATATTTACATGCCATATACGTAATGTGTTCCAAAACCCTAGTGAGCTGCCTATATAACTCATCATATGTGAACTACATACACAAAGACTCTTCCTGAAGGTTGGAATCAGAAATTGATGATTACAAATAAACCTGTATTTCATTCATACGGAAAAGTGTCCATTAAAAATGCTTAAATGCAGTTGAATAGGGTAAAAAAAAATTAACTAATACATTTAGATATCAGCATACCCCCAGGCCAGTTGATTACATTAATAATTGCAAAAAAAAAGTTTTAGCTTTTTAGGTTTTCTGAAAGGTTATGGTTAAACATGCAGATACATTGTCTAATTAAATTATGACTAATTTGCATACATTTCCAGATAAGAACAGAAATCTGAACATTGAATAAAGACAGGTTCAAAATTCTTATTGACATATTAGAGTCAAGGGTTTTTTTTTTTACTAAGGGGATTTTTGATCCATAAAAAAAAGATTGTCTACATTTTCACCTTGTTTTAGGAATAAAATGTTGTATAAAAATCAGACAAATTTAGACAAACAAAAAAACCAATGGTTTGGTCACATGATCTTACCCAATTTTATGCATATTAAAGTATCATTCTACTTACATCAAATTCTATAGAAAACATATCGGTTACCTAGCGTAACCTTGGTTCTGTTTCGAGTTACATCGAATGTGTCACAAGAACTGGGCAGATGCAAGTTAAACACGTTATTTGACACAAATATGAACACAGGAACACAAGTTGCTGGTGGCAGGGATAGGTGGTCCTAGAAGAGTGAATCCAGTGCAGTGTGGGGGGGATTGGGGCACTGGGGGGGGGGGGGGGGGAAAATCAGAAAATTGAACTGGAAATAAATAGTTGTTTAGAAAATATTCAGCACGGTTTAAAAAATCTTTGCAATGCCCTGTGGCCTAATGTAAATGGCATTAAATGTGGCACTAACCAATAGCCTGAAAATCCTTTTGTATTTTACATTAATTGGACCACACAGTTTTAATACATAAAAAAAAAAAAAACATCACCTTGGCATTAATTAGTCATTCAACATGCTTTATTCTCAACACAAACGCGATTGTGTCGACAAACGTTCTCCGCATGAAATCTGTCTCTGACATGGTTTCTTCTTAAATAAACCTGTGATGTCCTGTTACGGTGTAAAAATAAACAAAAACCCATTAAGTATAAATTGCACAGAGTTGCAACTTGAATGTTGCTACGACGGTGTTAACGTTCTGACCTTTTAATGTTTACCACGGCACAGCTTTTTTGGAAAAATATTATAGTGCCTTTAGTGTTTTAAAACAATAGATAAAGTAATATGTATCTATTTTATACATAGGTTAGTCGTGTGCGCTGCCGTGGAATAACACTGACAAGTCATCTCTACACAGTCTGCCGGAGTTACGTTAGCTAATCTAATGCTACTGGCTTGATCAGTCACACATGAAAGTAATCAGATGGTGCGATATTTCAAAATATATACTGTTATTGAGTGTGTATATTCCATAAACAGTGACATGTCGAGGTCTCTCTCTCTCTGTCTCTCCTACTGTTTGAAAAAAAAAAAATGCGGACCTGTGATTCCGCTTTGCGAATCGCAAATCAAGCAGTGATTGACAGCGTTCTGATCCAATGGCGTTGGGTATTGTCAGGTTGACTATAAATCTAGCGGAATTATGTTGGCAGGGCACTAGAGGGTGCCTATCATATGCCCCTCTTCTAAACTTTCAGTGCCATAATGTGTATGGCACTGAAAGTAGCTGCTTATGTAGTGTTCCAAATCAGGAACATACGAGGTGCCATGATGATTAGAATGCAGCCATGTAAGATGTGGTTTTGGAACAGAGCTGTAGTGTGCCTGTTTGGGCGCATCCACTTCTCATTATCCCCATTTCTGAATTCTAACAGTGTCTTGATACTCATTTAATTCACACAATACTGTCTGACAGCTGGAGAAACCTACTGGAGCTGTGAAACACAGAGAGATTCAAGAGCAATGAATTCTGGGAGGTGATGAGGGAAGAGATGGAGTGAAATGGAGGGTGTAGCGAAAGAGAGGGATGTGATATCAGGTGCTCTCCCTCTCTCTCTCTCTATCTATGTCTCTCTCTCTCCTGTCCTCATGCCAACTCTGCCCCTTAGGTGACTGTAGTTCCTCTTCAGGCATCTGGCTTCAATCCCCGCTCATCCGCACATTTTTGTTTCTCTTTTCTCCTTCTCTACATCCTCCATCTCCTGTTTCTCTCTTATCTCTGTATCTCTACACCTCTCTCCCCACATTTACCAGTGTTTGTTTCTGTCAGTCTTCATCTCTCGCTCCTTCCTTCTCCGCTTAACCATTTATCTCCTTCCCTCGATCCTTCTCTCTGGCTTTCGTTGTCTATCTCTCTCCCCGTTTCCATTTATTTCCTGCTATCTGCCATCCCTCTTTTATCGCTCTCTCGCAGCGCTCATCTCTGGTGCCCTTGCGTTTTCTCTCTCTCATTAAGTAATATCCCCAGGCCTCCGCCTCAGCGTCTGATGCTAAAGCATTCTGAATTATTTTGCACATTTCTTTCTACCTGTAATATTTATTTGAAGGCCAAACGATACTTACTGAATCAGGATGACATCTATCATCTGGCATCAGACGATCTTGCTGTTTATTTTAATTGGTGTCATTTTATTCTTAAATGTTGTTTTTGAGGACTAGATGTTTGTGGACAGGTCTCAAGCGTTTGGCTGCTGTTGTTGGTGGGTTTGAGATGTGATGTGCTGACAGGGGTAGAGACTGCCTATTGCTCTTGGCCGCAAGGAATTACAGGGTCTAGGTCAAAGGTTTTTCTCAGGGTCACAACCCATCGCCCCTCGCTTGATCTGATGAGACTAAATGGACAGTTTACTCACAAATTAAAATGATGTCATTATTTAGTCACCCTCATGACATAGACCATAAGACTTTCATTAATCTTCAGAAGGAATGTACATAAGGTTAAATGAAACCCGAGAGATTTATGTCCCTGCACTGAAAGTCTTTCAAGCTTCAAAGCATAAAGACATTGTAAAAGTAAATTAAACGAATCGAGCAGTTGACAACCGTGAATCGTGAAAATCCAAGAAAACATATATATTTTGGGGGTGGTGGGATGCTGGTAACTGTATGAGGATTGAAATTGCGAAATTATACGTTTTCTAATACATTAATTTCCAATGTTAGTATCTCGTGCTGCCATCTGTGGGATGTCCTGAGAATGTTAGCCAAGGTTCAAAGCGCCAAATGTGAGTAAAAATCTGTGTTGAAACAGTACTTTTTATAATAATTATTATTATTTTGACACTTTTTATAACTTATAGTGTATAATATTTAATCATATTTTAATTCGTGAGCTTAGAATTATAAGGTTCTATCTCTGTTTAGGGTAGTTCTGAGATATTGAGCATCAAGGTTTTTACATCCCAGCTGGCAAAACTGTTATGTAGTATAATCTTCTATTATAGCTTTATCTATTAATCTTTTTTTTACAAAAATAACACCACACAGGCATTAATAAACCTAATGGATCAGATTATGTCAAACTCAATTTCGACCAAAAGTGGAGATAGAACCTTATAATTCTAAGCTCACGAATTGTACAGTGCAATAGTATTTATTATTAGCCTGGATGCCATCCCAAACTCCGCCCACAACTTTTTTTGGTCGGGAAGTTCGGTCTGGACTCGATCCATTGAGAAGTAATTACAGGCAAAGAATGTTGGGGCCAATCAAATTGCCAGGGCGGGTTTTATACGATGACGGACTGATGATCTGCAGGGACGTAATCATTATGTTATCAAAGAGCACTTCAAACTGGTTTCCCTCATAAATGACTGCAGCTGGAGATGTATAGATTCCACTGTCGCGTCTGTTTTTAAAATGAATCGAGAGCGCATTAATTTTAATAGCCGAACAGAAAACTGCAATCAAGGCATTTGTCGATCGGAAAGATGTTTTTGCCGTCCTTCCTACATGATTCGGCAAAAGTGTAACTTATCAGCTGGCTCCGATGGTCACTAAGAATATGGGACGTAATGAAAAGCCTGTGGTCGTTGTGGTTTCTCCTTTGGTCGCACTCATGGAGGACCAAGTAAAAGAAGCAACCCTCGTTATTTTATTTCTAAAATAAGTAAGTTCTGTTGACAACTGTGAAATGCAAAGTAGTTGCCTTACTGCTTTGTTCTAATTGGTTGTAGGTCTACCGACTATCCAATTGAGTGCAGAGTTTTTTGGGGGTTTTTTTCCTGGTTCGGTTAAGACACGCCTCATAATCAAAGCCCAATGAAGCAGTTTCAGACTTATACTCTTACTAGAATATTAGTATGACGACGTCAGGCTAATTTATTATTGCAATATAGCATATCTTTTCATTTGATTTAAAAAGATATTGACAATTCAGAATTGTGAGCAAGTCTGAGAAAAAAAAAAGAATTAAGAAAAAAGTATTTTTCCTCAATAGTATAGTTTATAACTTGCACTTGTGAGAAAGTCAAAATTGCGAGATATACAGTACACTCACAATCACAATTCTGACTTCATAATGCGACTTAATGTCATGTAATTCTGAGGAAAAAATTCTGAATTGCGAGAAAAAAAGTTGCAATTAACTTGTGTTTATTCAGTTGCTATACTTTCTACCCCTTTCTAAGTCCAAGAAGTTCAAAAAAGTTTTTTTAGAAAGAGGATAATACTTAATATAACAAACTTTAAAGTTGTTTAATGAGGATTCACAGCAAACAACTTCAGATAGCTGCTGTTTTCAAGTAACGTGAAGAGAGATCACACAATCACAGATTTTTAAGGGTGCTGACAGCTTAGTTAATCGCAGATTTAAAATAGAGTCTAGCGACGCTTACGGTCCAGAGATAGAGAGTTGGGAGGGAGAGACGCAGGACAGAGCTTCATTCATCTTTTCTTGACACCTCCCCAAAGTAATACACACTAAGAATTTCTCATCCGTGCATTAGACTCTGTCTGAACGAACAGTGAAGGGAAAACAGAGCGAAATTGAAAGCAAGACTAAAATCAAATGAACGCATCGCTCATCCACCCACTTGATTACTCTTGATACTTTCTGAAATTGTCAAGTTTCCAAAGTTTTTCTTTTTTTTTTTTCCTCCACGCAGGCTTGAGCTCTATAGCATCCTTGTCCATTGTGGTGTCCATAATTATACAGTGCAGCTGAATCACAACTCCAGCGGTCGGGTTGTCTTGTCTTAGCTCGATCCGTATGACAGGTCCTAACAGAGCAAGTTAACCTAGATGACACCAGCAATTAAGTCCCACACTCAGCACATGCTCTCGCTCCCAATAAAAAAACACTTGTGTCACATATCACTGAGCCGAGAGAAAATTACCCACAACTGGTTTACGACAGGCTCGCACGACCTGACACTTGTATTTGTTGATTCAGTCAGCGATTTGTGAGAGACTTGCTGAATCTGTGTTTTGTTTTTGTTTTTTTTGGAAATGGTACACTGGGAAGAAAGAGAAAGAGCAAAACTATCAAACACCTTGACATTGGAGCGTACACAGTAAATTGTTTTTCTTGTGTCTGAAATTCATTGAAATCCTTTCAGAGTTAAAAAGAGACAAACTTTTATTAAAATAATATATGAACATCGGAATCAACTTTGCATCTCCACTTTATGGCTTTGGGCTGTGGAATTGGTCTTGTGCTTCTTTCAATTGCATGTTTGCGACAGATAAAGCAGAACTCTACAGCACATACTCACCATCTTTCAAGCTGAATTCATAAGTTATGTGCTAGAACAAATTTGTTTTGTTTTTCATCCATCCTATCTCACTCTCTCTCTCTCTCTCACTTCAGACTGATTATGGTAGAAATGTTCTGTGATTACTTGTATTTGACAGGGGCATGAAGCAGTATACATCTTGCTGTAGGAGACCCTCACGAACGTAAGCAAGCTAATTAAGCGAAATTGCTTGAGGGGGTGTAAACCTTGCAGATATATCGCTTCCAATTTAAAAACAGCCGTATGTTTTATTCATGTTAAAACCACATGAGTATGGAAAGAGCCGTCGGTTCTCAAGAGTAAAGCAACATAGTACCCCGTTTTAAGATACGTGCAACTGATCAATCACTGTTTTGAAGCACCACAATGACTGAAATGACAATTATTATGGTGATGATGGTGGTAGTGGTGGTTTAGAAGAATATGATGAAGACAGTGGATCTGAGAGTTCATTGCCACAAACATAAATTTACCACAAACTTTATTGTCATTGTGAGGCATTAATGTTTATGTTCTGTGATGGCATGGTATCTTATTTTCCTCAGGACCCCATAAAATCACGTCTCTGTTTTTTCATCATGGCTCAGTGTAGAGGTTTTTGTTTCTCTATTTGTATTTTTATATACTCTCTAAATCTCACCATAGATCCTAATATTGTATTTTTTCTCTATTTATTTATTTATTGCTGAATGCTAGAGTTTTTGTTTATTTTTTCAAAAGTTCCACTTAGCATAAGCATGAATATTTCTGTTTTGTATATCAATATATTTTTTTTGTATCAATATTTCTGTATCTTAATAAACTCAGCAAAATGTGCTTTGGGGCTTTTGTAATAATAATTTATTTAAATGAGTATAAATAAATAAAAATATTCCACAAACCAAATAACTTTTTTTTTCTTAAAGACAGAGCTGTTTACAAAAATTCAAATGCAAACTTTTGACTGAAGTGAGATTTAAAAAAAAAAAAAAAGAAGAAGAAGAAGATTGGACAAGTCTGTCATTAAATATGGATAGTGTTACTAGTAATGAATATCTTTAACTCTTCCAACGCGCTTGCCTGGCTTGAAATGCTCTGAATACTGATGAAAGACGTATATCCATTATTCTAATTAATTTCTGTCACTTGTCAACATCAAACTACTGCATCTAATATGGTGCATATGAGATGATCCTACATTTTTAATGAATTTACATATATTTAAGGAGAATGTTGCTCAAATGTTGCCTTTGGTTCTAAAACACCAAGGGTGTGGGAAAAAAAGAGGGAAAATGAAGATGAAATTTCCTCTTTTTTTTCTTTGCCTATCCTCTAAATTACTTCCCACCACAGTAATCCACAAATCATAAACAATTATCACATTCCTTCCCTCTTCTTTCTGTCTGCACACACACATACATGTGATTTGAAACTCTTGAAAATGATTGAACTAGCCTCCAGAGGATTTTTTTTATTTATTTATTTGTTTTTATCAAACTGGAAGCAGCAGTCTAAAGAGAAAGCGGACTCTGATTTTGCACTGATCAATCAGTCACTCAATCATGTCGTCTACTGTCCTGTCCTCTACTGGTCTCTTGCACCCCGTCCTGGAAGGGACACATCACATTTGTTTGATCTCAACAGAGTGTTTTTCTGCTTATCAGTAAATGCAGCTGTGCATCCCAGACAGCGTGCAGCCGGAGAGGCTGGACGGCCCTGTGATGTTTTCATCACAACAGCCAGTAGATATTACTCGGTCTGTCGCTGTCTCTCTATCATGCTCTCCTTTCTACGATTTGAACTAATAAACCATGAAAATAAACATTTTTTTTTAAGTATCTGAAGCGTCTTTGCCAGTGGTAGGGAGTTGCTAAGTAAATGTAGTGCTGAAATTAATCAAATATTTTTCTGAAATTTCACAACATTTAATGAGCTACTTTTACCAATGAGTAACATTTATAATTGAGCAAACTCAGGAAATAATCAGACATGCTCTCCTAACATTATTTTTTGAAGAATTCCGTTGAACAGTTCCTTTTGAATCGCTGTTCAAACTGTTATTGATCTTTATTAGTTTCATTTAGTGTAAACAAATTTAGTGTAAAACAAATTATTGTTATGTTGGTAGATGTACACAGTAACTTTGTTTTAAAAGGTGTGTGGGACAGGTGTGTGTATCGAATGTGATAGTTTTATTCTTACATCTATTCTTCACAATAGTGAATAAACTCTTAGATCCGCAATCATTATTGGTATTCAATGATCTGGTGTCAGAACGTTTGTTAGGTATGTCAAGGTTCCAGGTTCAAATCCGCCCCTTTTTTTTTTTTTCTCATTAAAATCAAAGATGTTGTTCATCAATGATTGTATATCAAGAGCTGGGACACGTTTGTGGTTTTTTTTTTTTTTTTTTTTTTTTTTTTTGCGATTTCACCAGAAAGAATAGTCTCCGCAACACCATAAAGTGATAGATTGACACGCTTGTCTGTGCGAAGCCAAAAGAGGACGGTCCACCACTGATTACATAAGCAACAAACACTCAGTATGATTAAAAAAGGGACATATTACTGGGCTAGATCACCTTTTTTTAAGACACATAACAAGGAGCAATTAGCTATTCTTAAAGGGATACTCCACTTTTTTTGGAAATAGGCTAATTTTAGAGTTAATCAGTTGGGTTTTACCGTTTTCGAATACATTCAGCCGATTTTCAGATATTTAGAAGATCCAGATATCTGGTCTCAGTATCCAGACAGACTACCATAGTAGGAAAAAATATATACTATGGTAGTCAATGAGACCAGAAACTGTCTGGTTACTGATATTCTTCTAAATATAAACTCAACTGTTTAACTCTGAGGGGGTTGTAAAATGAGCCTATTTCCAAAAAAAGTGGAGTATCCCTTTAAGTAGTCAGCTAAATGAAAGTATTTTTAACACTACAAGCTACTACACTACGACTAACAAATTAACGTCAACTGGATACATTTCATTTGATCTTAAAAAATTCTGGCTCCTTAGCTTCAGTGTAGTTTCTTTTTTTGTTTGTTTTTTTTTTTTTTGTAGCTTGGCGTGAAGCTAAATCTACTGAATTGTTGGTTTGCCTGTTAGTCAGTAGTGAAGCTAACTTTTAATATATTCAATCTTTTAATGTAGATTGGTCATGTCACCAGATAGTGACATATTTAGTATAGCAGCTTTTGCTAGTGGTTTGTAGTGTAGAAAACAACTTTTTCAAGTAGCTTAGACCTACTACTAATTAGCGCTTCTTAGCTTGTAGTGTCAAACTACTTTCATGTAGCAGACTACTTTAATAGCAAACTACTTTTCAAATAGGCAAATAATTTAATAGCTAGTATTCATTGTTAGCATAGTTGTACTGTAGCTAGCAAATTTTTTTGCTAACTACTTAGCTAAGAATAGCTAATTAGTCCATTGCTACAGTACAGTAGCTTTTGTTTCTGTGCTACTATTACTCATAGCTAAGTAGTAGTTTGCTTGTTTACAGCTTTTGTTGGTAGCTCTAAGTGTAGCTACCTACTTTTTCATGAAACTGGCTTCTCTTCGATGAGCCTGACCTTAGTTTAAATTATAAATAGCCTGTATCTTGGGAAGCTACAGTTAGCCTCCAGTGGAGCACTGGTCTCAACTGAGCATGTAGCAGTGTGTATTTGGCTGTAGTCTTTGCTGCATGGTGATGCCATTACAGTAAACAGCATCTGGCAGACACACTTCATAACCCCTTTAAACTGCAGATTACTGAGCTGTAATGAGCTTGTGTTTGTGTGCTACAGCCTGCCGCACATTTGCACCTTGGGCTGTTGGTATAGCTAGTAGAGTGTGTGGTATTCTTATAAGAGCCTCGTGTAACAAACAAGATTTAAAATTTAGCCCTAACACTGTCTGTAATGCTAACTTGAACTATATTGTGACACTCTGAAGCCACCCCCAAAAAGTAAAAACCTTAATTATTTTTTCACTAATAACCCATGCATGTACCATCACCATTGTGCCTTAACCCCTAGTTACTCCAAAGGCGTGCGACCTCTGACAAATATAGCAATTGTAAGTCGCTTTGGATAAAAGGGTCAGCTAAATGAATAAATGTAAATGTAGAACTCGAGTGTCTGATTTTATTTATGTCGTCACTTCCTCTTAGTTCCTTGGAGAGGTCCCAGAGAATGCTGTGGGTGTGGTCGTGGCCAATTTGACTGTCAGAGACAAGGATCAGCCTCATACACCCAACTGGAATGCCGTCTATAGGATTACTGGAGGAGATCCAATGGGCCATTTTGCCATACGCACTGATGAGATCACCAACGACGGCAGGGTCATAGTGGTTAAGGTGGGTGTGTCTTGTTGGTTACATTGTAAACATTATTCTTGGTTCTCAGGCTGCTGATCTTTTGATTTGTTCTCAAACTCTGCATACTCAAACATTTAAATCTGTCATGCGTGAAATCTTCTCATCCACTATCTGTCCTCTGTCCCATCACTGATTCTTCAGACATGGAATAGCTTTACCTGGAATTAGTTTTTAAAAATTGCAACATTTCTACTAAAAGATTATTGCTTGAATGTTTCCTAACTCAAATTGCCATTTCATATGACTAAAATCTTCATTAAAACTAGAGATGTACCTATGTATTGGCCAATAAAAGCTATTATTTTCAATATTGGCCATTTTCAACTGGAAAGATGCAAGATGTGAACAATGCATTGCATTTACCTCAGAAAAGTCACCCGATGTCAAAAAAACAAAACAAAAAAAAAAACACTAGAGGAGCTTATTTACTGTTATTTATAATTGCATGTTTGAATAAATTTGTTTATGAAAAAGTGATTATGAAACCATGTTGTTAATTGCAACCAATATTATAGTGTACCAAATAAGATCTCGAACGGCATCGGCCAATATCATTCTGAAAAATCTATATTGGAAATTTAATATTGGTGCATGTCTAATTAAAACCTATTCCATTTAAGGAATCATAAAAATGATAATTTATACTGCTAGAAACTAAGGTGTCTCAATTATTCATTGAAATTAATTATTTGCCACTATTACAATGAATACTTGACACATTATTTCTGAATGTGTTAAACCATACTGAGTGAAATGATGGACCAGGAAAAAGCATACATAATGCAAGAAGGATTTTGAACCCAACACAGGTGAATAGCTCCCAGATAAAAATAAATAAATAAATATTATATATATATATATATATATATATATATATATATATATATATGAAGAGTTCAGATGCAAAAGCCTCTACGTGCCATTTGAAATTTTCTTTTTTAATGATGATTTTTATCAAACTTGTATATTTAAGTTCAGTAATTTCACTTAAATAACAATTAATAGGTAATTATCATTGCCATTTAAGTGAAATCACTGAACTTAAATATACAAGGTTGATAAAAATTATCATTCTAGAAGAAAATTTCAAATGGCACTTAGAGGCTTTTGCATATGAACTCTTCATATATATATATATATATATATATATATATATATATATATATTAATGAGTCAGTTATGTGTAACTTCATAACCTTTGTGTATGCATACTTTCATACTTTTTTTGGCCATTTACTTTTCTTTGGCCATGGTGTGTTATGCGTGTGTGCAACAGAGAGTAATAGAAGCCCTTGGTATACTGGTACTTAGACCTGTATTTCAGCCTCTTTGTGGTTCGGCACACCACACTATCCATGAAAAAGCTGATCCTTTCACACTTGTCAACTCCCAACCTTTACTCCAGGGTTTACTTCATCTTTTAACTCATACTGAGCCACTTTCTGTTCCTCTTCTAACACTTCTGGAGTCTCTTTCAGGCCATTCAGCCTGAGAGTGAAGAGTTGAATGTCTTTTAGGGGAAATGGTTTTTGCAGTTTCAATTAATGGTTTAATTGAATCGTGGTTCCTCTAACAAAAAAGCTTCTTGCTTATGTTACCAGATCTAAAATCACCTTCACGTTGTTGGAGCACAACCAAGTTCATCGAAGGCTTAAAAAACCTTTGTGTCTGTGTGCATATGTGCAGCCAGTTGACTATGAGAGGAACGGAGCCTTCATGCTGATGGTGGTGGTCTCGAATCAAGCTCACCTGGCCAGTGGGATCGCCTCCTCGCCCTCCTCCTCTGCTAGTGTTACGATCACAGTGCTGGATGTCAACGAGGCCCCCGTGTTCCCGTCCAATCCTAAAGTCATCCGCTTTGAAGAGGGAGTGCCTGCTGACACCACCCTCGCTACTTTCGCTGCACTGGATCCAGACCGCTTCATCCAGCAGACTATCAGGTAGAGAGGAATGACAGGAAGTGCTGTTGTCTGTCTGATTGAAACTCAGGATGTCAATCTTTCTGAGTGACCGTAAATGTCAATCATTTATGTTCTTCCTCGCTCAAACACACACATTGGTCAAAGTATGTCTGAGATGAAAAAAAGGAAAATCTTTTAGAAAATTCAGCTTATTTTGTTCTTTGTTGCAGTTCAAAACATTTCAGGCCCACAAAAACAAAGATTGAACATGTATATTATAGAAAATGTGAATTTCCAGTCACTGAAAGCTTATTTTTGTTCTGACATTTCAAATGCTTCATAAAAAAAACAATACTGCTACAATGCTTTCAGAGTTTCAGAGTCTTCTTGAATGATTGATGTTTATTGATGATTTAAATAAAGCACTCATGACACACACGAACAGCAAATCAACCCAACGTGTCCGCCACATAAAGTCTAGTATATTCCACCCACTCTGTTCACTTCTCAATTTTCTGCCGAGTCATGCTTTAAGTTTTAAAATGTCCATTAATCCATGAGCACTTTATTTGACTGGTGAGTTTAAGAGCCATTTTATAGCAACCAGGCTTTAAACAAATCCATCACTCTCAGGTGCAGGTCAGCCCGGACTTCGTGAGCAAACATCAGAAGTACATGCAATTTCCATACTGTGCTGTATGTCAAGTGATGTAGCACATATCGTTCGCACCATTAACACCCTTGGGAGCAGCTAAATGCTTTTAATTGACTCTCTCCTGTTCTAGTCCCTTGGTTGTGCCTGGGTTGCCAAGCAACAGGGTGAAAGGTCATTGAGTAATGAGCCGAACCATTCCCCACACTGCTGCTTCTATTGTGTCTCTCCCTCTCTCTCACTCTATCAGTCGTTCACGCTTGATCTCTCTTGATTTCTCTTTTTTTTTTCCATGACTCAAAAGTGTGCGGGCAAGATGCCAGCTTGAAGCATTGATCCAAAGTTTGCCTCCATGCACATTCACTCACACACTCGGGGGACCTTCACTGGACTTGCTCCATAGATCACTACAGTCCAATCAATACAGTCCACACTGTGGCGCTCTCGCTCTCTGAATCTATCAATGTTATAGGCTCAAATAAGCAAACAACAGCCCCTGATAAGCAAACAACTAAAAGATTAAGTATGGGCTTGATTATTAGCAAAATTAGCTGTATAGCTATATATAAAATTAAAAATATAATATTCAAACACCAGTAGCAGACAATACAGTCACATTCTTAGCAATTTTGGGAACAGGTCTGGCAGATAAATAGACTGTTACTGTTTTTAACTTCAGTGTTTTCAATTAATTGAGCAGAAGCCTGATAAATTACCCAATAATATATATAGAAGAAAGATTATGCGTCACATCCGTGATTTGATTGAGTGTAAATGTTTCCACATTTCTCTGAGCAGATCCATTGATCAGAACAGAGCCCATGCTGCGACTGAATGAGGGACATATCTTAATAATCCACATGCTATATCCTCATAACAGGCTAAATATGATTTTAACGGCATTTAAATGGATTGATGATCTCAAAGTTCTACATTATTACCCTCAGCCATACTGTTACAGCATAAATTATGATTGAACGTTGAGCTCTATACTGCGTCTTGCGGATGCTTATGGATTTTTATCCAGAGTAATCTGATGAACAAATGCTTTTGGCCTTCAGGTACTCCAAACTGTCGGATCCAGCCAACTGGCTGAAAATCAACAGGACCAATGGAAAGATCACCACCATGGCAGTGCTGGATCGTGAGTCGCCGTATATGAAGAAGAATGTATATGAAGCAACCTTTTTGGCCGTGGATAACGGTAAGAAAGTTGGAAAGTTTGGAGAAAAAAAAAATTGAGTGTCGATGCATTAAAGGTGCTGTGTAGAAAAGAAAAAAATGGATTTGAACGATTGGGTAGGTCAGCTTGGAGAAAGGTTGGTTAGCTTGAACTTCATTTGTCCCACAGAGCAAAAAAGCTTTTCACAGCCTATCGATTCATAACCTATCAGCACTGGGGCATTTTTCTATTCTTATTGGATTTCATTCTCATGCTCTATTCAACCAAGAAAGTGTTCCAACAAAGCTGCTGTCCAATCACAGTTGCTTTGCTTGTCCATTTTTGCACAAACTTTCTCAAATGGAGAGACTAGATTGCTAGATTTAGAACACAAATAGTTGCTTCACACCCTCAGAAAACTTCAGGGTGAGTTGGTACAATTAGGATATCAAACCATGTTTATCTTGTAGAGCAGACTGATCTCATGAAATGGCGTGTGTATGACATGCCAATTCATATTTACATTTTTGCCGTGCTATCAACACGCATAATCGCTTTTTAGCATGTTTATGAACGTCGTTGACTTAACGTTACATTACTGTATAAATATATAACCTACCCTAACCCCATCCTTAAACTTACCTGTCACTGGCATTTATAAGTCTTCCCCTACCATCCTAGGAAGAAAAAAAACATCGCTCCCCAGATGTAGATCTACATTTTGCTTCGTTTCGCTTGGACATTTAACGGCGTGTACATACAGCTCAAAATGCGTATCTAACACGCCGCTTGACTTGAAAGTGGCGTGTATGTTTACGCAAAAGTCATGATGTCATGTTGTGTAGCAAGTGAAGCTGTATTTAATGTAATCTAGGTAATTTGTTTTACCTTATATAGTTTTGTTCATGGTTTTTGAGGATGAGGGGTTCTCACACCTGTGTTGAGGAAACTAACTTGTCAAAGTACTGTGAAAGCTAATAGTATGAATTAAAGTAGCTAATAGTTGAATTAAAGTACAGTCAATCTATTGTTTTGAATCAGAAAATAGCTATACTACCATCTTAAAAAAATAGCTAACAACATTTAAATTAGGATGCAATATGTTCATAAAACCATTTTTGGCAAAAAAAAATGAGGGTTTTGATTGAATGAGGAATTGGGGTGACAGTATCAACCTTGAAAAGATTGCTGATCGAATCTTTTCAAGGTTGATACCGTCACCCTAATCATCAAAACACACAAATGTATGTAGTGAATTAGCTCTATGAAATATTAATAATCAATCAATATTGTTATAATTGTTATTATGTTATTACATTATTACCTTCCTGTGTGTATTGCGTGAATGAGGGTTGGTATTTGGGCAGATATTGTGTTTTGAGGAAGGTAGTACAGTATGTTATATGGAACCGTTGCCACTGAACCTATGAAGACAGTGGGGCTCGACAGCCTTAGTCAAACTGGTTGGGTTGCAGAGAGATTGTGAGATTGTGGTTAGTTGCTGTTGTTTGTACGTTTTTTCTACTTTTTGTATTGTATTGGTTTTTATAAAAAAAAATCAAATAAAAAAGTGAAAATTGCACAGTAAAAGTTCTGTATTTGGCTGCAATTGTCTTTGCATTCTGATTCCTTACTTCATTAGAATCATGATGACTGGCTCTTATTTGTAAACATCAGGGCCATGCAAACCTGTATTGCTAGTCTGGAATTATTCTACAATATTCACTTATTACAGTAAAATAGACCATCCCAAGTCAATTTACTGCAGTAATTATTCTCTCAACCAGTAGAAAATGCTTTGAACACCTGATGATGCATGAAAAAAAAAACACCAGAAAACGGTCATAATTTTGAAAAGAAGACCTTGATATAAATTTTTTGTCAAACCACCTAGCACTAATTTAGGGCCTTTGCTATCTTTTTGTGTCCTGTTCCTTGTTTGTGAAGGGCAATGATATCTTCTCTTAACTTTTTGGACCATTATTTTGACACATTTCTTTTGGCCATATTTCTAACATGCAGTCAAATGTGACTCAACAAAAACCTAGCCAATTCAGATTTTTTATGTGTTCTAGCTCAAGTACATCTGTTGAAACTAATGAAGCCCTTGATTGGTTGCATCAGGTGTGCTTGAGACAAGTTTCTTTCTTTGTGTATGCCTTTTGGCGGGCATTATGGTAATATTTCACATCGTGACGTAGACGTTTGTGGAACTAATATATGGACCAGTTTCCATAGATCAGTTTTCCCTGTTACATAGAATACATATTTTTTTGTGGGAAACTGAGCTTTGTAACTTTGCAGATGTTCTACATGCTCAACAAATGTAGAGTTTTTATCATGGTTTATTGGCATGTTTATTTTTAGTCAAATTCTATGAAATGAAAAAACTAAAATTGCTTACCAGATTATTGCTTCACAAGCTCAGAAAACTTCAGGGGAGGTTGGTATGATTAGGAAATCGACCAGTCTATCGGCCTGTCTTGGTGTGTTTTTCCCAGAAGTTTTCAAAGGTGTCTGTAGGGGCAGGCCTTGTCAGGCATCCTATCTGAACAAAGGCATATTGGCCTAAATCAATATGTCTTTGGGGACTGTCGTTTTGTCTAGCAGCTGATACAGATGTCCAGGGTTGATGGAGTTGACAGAATCAATCTTTATAATATGTAGCCTGTTACTCATTTAGAGCTTTGAGAATGATACATCAGTGTTTTCCACAAATGCCTCTCGTCCGTGATGGGAGATTGTGTTGTGAGAAGCCGGTATGTATATATCAGGCCTCGATATGCTACGTTTTGTCTTTGATTCACTCACAGCCATAGGGAGCAGATATGTCTGTTTCTTCAGGCAAAGTTATTACACATATCTGTCCTCCGAGAGAGCCCAGCTCTATTAAAGAGAAAACAGCTTTGTGAAATATTTATGTGCAGTTATCATCTGACACAACTGAGAGTTTTCAGGACAAATACATAAAGTTTATGACCATAACCCCTTGTCTATCGTTATCCTCTTTCTGTCTCATAGGTTCCCCTCCTGCCACAGGAACCGGTACTCTCCAGATTTATTTGATTGATGTGAACGACAACGTTCCTGTCCTAGATCCTCAGGAGGCCCTGGTTTGCGAGAGGTCACGACATGGCTATCCGGTCAACATCACAGCCACGGATTTAGATTCAGAACCCAACGCTGGTCCATATGTATTTGAGCTGCCCTCTTACCCCTCTTCTGTGCGCCGTAACTGGACCATTTCACGCCTGAATGGTTAGACATGGATTTTACAAATTACAAATTCAAAGTATTTCAAGGCTTTTAACACTTCAACGGGCCATTTTTAACTCCTGTTTATGTGTTAATAAAGCTGAGAAAATGTATAAATTGAATTAAAAAATGTTTCACTTCAGGTTAATACATCTAACATTAATAGCAGATAGAAAAAAAGATCATTTTCTAATATTTGACTTTGGCCTTAATACAGTGACAGTATAAAAGCCAAATGTTTAATTTTGGATTTCATTTCCTATCTCCATCTAGGGAATTATGCCCAGTTGAAACTGCGGATCCCGTACCTGGAGGCAGGCATGTACAGAGTGTCCATTTTAGTTACGGACTCTGGAAACCCTCCACTGTCCAACACCTCTGTGTTGAAGGTGAAGGTGTGTCCCTGTGATGAAAACGGAGACTGTACTGTGATCGGGGCGGTGACTGTGGCCGGGCTGGGAACTGGAGCTATTATCACCATCCTCATCTGTATCATTATACTGCTCAGTAAGTGATGGATGGATCAGGGGACGGAATGATGGTTTGAATTATAAATGGATGGATAATTCAATCAGAGAATGCAACAAAACCAAATCTTCACAACATCAGTAAATTGTGATTAATAACCTTTCAATCTGTCATTTAATATTTGATTATTACATTTAATTTAACTGTCAGTAAACATTATTCTCAGCTATATGAACCTCCCAGCTTATATTTTATTTTATATACATGCACACTGTTTTTTAAAATTGTTTGGGGTCAGTAAATAAAAAATAAATAAAAAAACTTTAAATTAATATTATTCAGCAAGGATGCATTACACTGTGATACATCAAAACAAAAGTGACAGTCAGACATTTATAATGATATTCATATTATTTCTATTTTTTCAAATTTTCTATTCATCAAGAAATCCTGGGGGGAAAAGACAGGAGTAATGACCCCTGACAGTTATTTTGAATTGTAAAAAATAATTGTCACAGTAATATTTTTACTGTAAATAGACTTGAGACTACTTAAAAATCTACTGACCCCAAACGTTTGAACGATATGATGCTGTAACATATATAATTAGAAATAGTTTTGTTTTCTTTGGTCATGTCTTATCTTGCCTAGTGCATCAAATAAGTCTAGACTGCCACTGATGCCCCCTCAAAATTAGAAAATAGGTGCATGATGCTGCTGTATGTGTGCGTGTTTTTTTTTAGGTATGGTTCTGTTCTTTGTGGTGTGGGTGAAACGAAGGGAGAAGGAGCGTCAGACGAAACCCTTATTGATCGACCCTGAGGATGACGTCAGAGATAATATTCTGAAGTATGATGAAGAGGGAGGAGGAGAGGAAGATCAGGTAAATGTCACACAGATTGTGCTTTTATCGATTGACGAGTCAAGGCTGTTTTTAAATTTTCAATAGTTTTCTGCTTCTTTGTCTGTTGCAAGAGCATTGCTGACCTTGTTTGAGACTTGCGCTGGTATATTTTTATTTCTGTTACAGGACTATGACCTGAGTCAGCTGCAGCAGCCCGAGTCTCTAGATCACATAATGAGCAAGCCTGCAGGTGTGCGGAGAGTGGACGAGAGACCCGTTATCCTAGAATCTCAGTACCCTGTTCGGCCAACGGTACCACACCCAGGGGACATCGGGGAGTTCATCATTGACGTATGCTTCCTCTGTTTTTTATCATGACGATAATGTAGTTAGGCCTTAGGTTTGAATAATACCTTCAGAGGGGCATAGGAAATACATATTAATTCAAAGGGGTCATAACCGGTTTCTTCCTTGAGGTCCACATATAATCTTAGTTTTTTGTGGTAAAATTATTAGAATTTGTTTTTCATCAAATTTGAATCTTCCATCTGACCTTTAGAACCAATGATTTGTTTGTTGAGCCTTTAAAGTCCCTATTAAATCAAAATGTTGTTTTTTTTTGTTTGTTTGTTTGTTTTTTGGCTTTTGGCTTTTAGTATGAATATGTTAGCTTTAAGGTTATCTATAAGCTAGTGTGCTCCAATACAATGACAAAATTCACATTTAGAAGCTATAAGTATGCAAAACTTCAAGTCTCTCACTTCGCCAATATGGATAGACGAATGGCATCACTCAATATTGTAACCCTTTATTTTAAGATGACATAGTTTAAGTAAATTAGGCATAATTACAAGTAACTAACCCTAAACCAAACCCTAACTTGATGTTAAGTTCATGCTTTTTAATATTACTCAGCACTTACTTGAGTACAATGTAGCACCTTAAAATAAAGTGTATGACTGCACTTCAGATTTTCTGTCCAATCAAATGCTCTCTAGAACCTTAAGTGTTCAGCCCCCACACTATAAATAGACGTTGAAGCTGTGGCTGAAATCAGTTATATACTATTTTCAATATGGTGAATAGCACATACAGGACTATATTGGATAGGGAACGATTCAGACAGTGTAAATATGCTTTCAAATGGAGTGTATGATGAAGTCTGATTTCACCTTAGTGTCACACTAACTGCTGCAAGGTGCATTCAGTCTGCTCCGGTCCAGAGACACAATAGCACAGAGCGGATCACTGGCGCAAGTCGCCACACACCAGAAAACGTATTGGACCCTTTTGAATTCTGCACGTAATGCTATATTTTAAAGCAATATGGAGTCTGACTCTGCATTAGAAACTGACAAGTAGAAGACATTACACCCATGCCATCCACCAACATAAATGACACACTTTTCAAACTAATCATCCGGAGTATGATTATATTCTCTGTTTTGCTTTAGTAACAGTTAAATCTAAATGGGGAATCTATTAGACAGCTGTCTTAAGTTGTCAAATATGGCTTTACTGAGCTGTGATATGAACTAAACGGGGAGGAGCTTTTCAATATGTCCCACCCTGTCTTCCTGTTTCAGTGGAAATTGTCAACACATTGAATAATGCTGCGTGTATCAAGGCACTTCATTAGCCCTTTAAAAAACGTCTTTTGAACAAAGAGGGAAACTAAATGATTCAGTCTACCACCAAAAAAAAAAAAAAAAAAAGCCTAAGTTTGTAAGTGGGCTTCAGAGAAGAAAATGTTATAAATTATGTGATGAAAAGTAGTGTATAAAGTGTGATTTAAAATGATCAATCCTGTTAAAAATAAGCTTGAGCTACTCTTTCCCAACCTTGTGGCCTTTTTAAGATATGCAGAGTTGCAGGTAATACAGCAGAATAAACAGCCCAAGGATTGACAAAAATCTATACATTTGGTGTAATCTATCCCATTTTTCCTCACCATGACTGGGACAGTGTTATTTAAGTATTACTTATATACTATAATATTTTGAATTAGCATTTTTACTAATAATTAAAATTGTACAGTTTTAGTCATTTTGTTATGTGCCTTAGTCATTTTTATTAGTTTTTTTACATTTAGCTTTAATTTCTTTTAATGTACTTTTACAAATTTTAGTACTTACATTTTTATATATATATATATATATATATATATATTAGAGCCAGACCGATATTATCGGCCAATATTAGGCATTTTCCAAACTATCGGTATTGGCAGTTACTGTTAATGTTTTGTTGCGCGTTTCTGAAAAAAAATAATTTAAAAATATCGGCCGATATATCGGAATATCGGATTCTAAAACCAACAAATATTTGTATCGGTATCGGCCTTCAAAATACTTTATCGGTCGGGCTCTATGATATATATATATATATATATATATCAGTTTTATACCGATTTCCTAAAACAATTTTTAATAGTTTTAGTCAATAAGTACAACATGAACAAAGTTTCTGAACCGTCATTGACAAATAATGTGGATAGACATCTTAGCCTTATGTGGGAAAGAACCAAAAATGAGTCATATTTTACAGAGGAAGTTCCAGTGTTTTCATTGTGCATCAAGGTCTTTCATCTCAAATGATCAAGATAAATTTGATTCCTCCTGATGTGACCCCTTTAAGCACTTTACAGCAGTGGCTTTTAGAGTGTTTTGTATGCATCCGATCCACCAACCTTGTCTCATGTTCATATCAGGGTCTGCGCGCGGCAGATAATGACCCCACCGCTCCCCCCTACGACTCCCTGCTGGTGTTTGACTACGAGGGTAGCGGCTCCACAGCGGGATCCGTTAGCTCCCTGGACTCCTCCAGCTCTGGGGAACAGGACTACGACTACCTCAATGACTGGGGTCCTCGCTTCAAAAAGCTGGCGGACCTCTACGGGGGAGGGGGAGAGGACTGAAGTCGGAAACGAGAGGAACACGGAGGGGAACGGAGAGGGCCAGGAGGGACAATTGGCTTCTTGGATGTTTTATCGAGAAGCCGTACGCCAAGCCTCTGACGTGGGCTGATTCTCTCTCAACTAAAGTTCCTCTGCACGCTACGGAGGCATTGAGAGGGGAGGATATTGCCCTGCAGCCTGCTCTGGACCTTTGCTGCAATCCACAAGTATTTTACGGCTTTTTTACAATATTCCGCGTTGTGGTTTCTTCAGTGTTGTTTTGTCATTCCTCTCGGACCACCTAGAGGCTTAAGATGGAATCGAGTTGCGATGGGGACGGCTAACTCTCAGCGTGCGGGAATAGAAAAAAAAAAAACACGAGTGCGCTCTTGTTTTTTTCCCCTTCGCTTTATCACTAAAGAGAGTTCCACACACACTTTTTTCTCTCAACTTGAATTTCAGTAGAACAGAAGCACTGTTGTTGATAAAGTGCCTTTTGTGGTGTGTTTTGTATCGGACTCCTGCAATCTCAGGGTCGGTTGCCATTTTGAAAAGTTTCTTCTGTTGGGCACACACTCCCTCGTTCCGGTCTGCTCCTCTCGACTACCTTTTGCTTTCCTTTCATCCCTGCTTTAACGGTGCACAACACCTCTTTGACTACTATGTGGGGGAAAAAAACAAAGGAAACAAAAAATGTTGTCAAAACTTTTGTTGATAAACACAGGACTCATTTCCCCTTAAGAAATGTCATTCTCCCCTGATGAGAAATTGGAGCGTATGAAGTACAGTGATCCAATTCGAAAAATCATTTTTTTTTTGTTTTGTTTTCTTTTTTAAAACTTGACCGACCACAACCATATAATGTTATGTTGTATAATGGTTGTGTAAAAAACAAGGTCTTCATTTTAAAAGAAGAAAAAATATTACTGGAGAATGCCTTTTAGCTCATACTCTTGCCTGCCTTGTACGATTTTGTGTTGCGTTTCCGATTTGTAAAGGTAATTTAGGCATGACAAGTTGCCAGACAGTGAGACTAAAAGAGATGGCTGAAGAAACCCGACTCTAAAAGGATTGCATCAGAAGAAACCTTCTTTTTTGTCTTGAACATTCCCCTTTTCTAACTTTATAAGTTGATTCAAATATTATATGTGCATGACTTCTTTCAAAACAATGTCTCAAATCTCTCGCACTTGTTCCTCTGTGGTCAGAATGTGAAAAGTAGTTGGCAAAGAATATACACCATACGGAATAAATATAATCTGAAAAAAAAAATTAAAAATAAAAAAAGATTCAAAAATGTTTAAAATGCTGTAAAATACTTTTTTTTTAAGTATTATTTGAAACATTTGCTGCTCTTCATGCTCAGAGTTGGGCTCAATGGGTATATCTGGGCCTGTTTGGTTTTTCTGTGTGAATCTGAGAGTGTTTGTCTATATCCTTTAGGATTTTTAAATTCTCTTTTTATATGTTTGTCTTTTGTATTTTTTACTTAGGTTTTCCGTTCAATTCTTTGGCTATGAGAAATGCAGCAGCATTCAGTTTTTGTCTTATCTTGCTTAAGAAAGTCTGTCTCGTACGTTCTGTCCCTGGATAAGGGTCTAAACCTGCATTGCAGAGAAGCTTACAATCATGCCTGCTCCACCATTCAGTGTAACTGATTTCTCTTTCCATTCATCTCAGATATTGGATGTGCTTTAGAGAATAAACAAACACAGTTTTATATATATAAAAAAAAAAAAAACATGACAAAATCTCAGTCTCTGTCCTGTCCATAATAGATTCATGTCTCTTTTCTTCTCCCTCATTCTTCCTTGTGTTTTTCTGCTGCATGTCATTATATTTTCTGGGCATGAGTGAGAATTGCTTAACGCAATTAAGTGACAATTTAATTGTGCTGATATATCGAGTATGGGATTTCTGATTAAGCCACAAAATCAGGCCATTTTAAAATGGCAGCATGATAATCATTCGAACTTCTGGATTTCCATGCATTACCATTAAATTAACATTGACTTAACATAACTTTGGATGACTGCTCCTCCTACACATTTGCCTTCAGAAGCATTAATAATGAACCACTCAGTCTACTGATGACAACACTATATGATAGAAAGGTTCCCAGCCTTTTTACATGTATTTAAATGAGCCATGGATTTCTTTCCCATGACCCAGTGAAAGGTCAAGGTACTCAAAGGGCACATGGCATAATTAAAACATAAGGCCACCACTAATGACGATTCTCTGGGAGGGCTAAAGAGCTAAAGAGCATTACAATTTAGGAAATTACAAAAGAGATTAAAAATGTTGTAAGAGTGAATTCTCTTAAAAATGAGGATAACGGTTAATATTTATATATATATATATATATACAGTATATTTCATATCATGAACCTATCACCTTACAATCCACCTTGTAACGCCTGTCCATCTGAATGAGGTACATTTCCGTCCACTCAGGATGTTGTTTAGTAGTCCATCCACATATTTTTTTTTATTGCTTATGTTAATACACATCAGACATCTTTTGTCTGTTGCGTCACATCTTGTTTTTTGAAGCATCTTTTGTTATGAGCGCCACATTTTTGTCGCGTTAACAATGTTAACTTTTAGAAGTCAGCGAATGACACATTTTTAAACTTTATGTAATTAAATGAACACTAACTTGACTGCCCTTATATTTATAGTTGAGTGAAAGTGTCAATAAAATGAAGGGAAGAACTGTTTGGTTTGGACTCAGCCTTGACAGCATGTGCATTAGCACATGCCACCGCTATTTTGGTTCTGATGTCATTTATTAACCTCTTGCCCATTTTAAAGACAGATACATACTGACAGATTATCAGCGCTCTTCCATTTGTTTCAATCAGTACAACTCCAGCTCGCAGCCTCCCTCTCTTTCTCTCTCTCTCTGCTTCTTGGTTACGCATTGCATACTAATGATGAATATGTTCTGTTTTATCTACTCTTCGTGTAGCGAAATTGTGTATGAGTATCTCTTTGCGTTTTCAATAAGTCAGCACACAGAGAGAGAGTGAGCAGAGACACCAGAGAGAGTGAGAGCTGTAGGGGATTGGAACTCTCTGCGGCCGTGTCTATCAATTAGGGCTCTGATTAATCCCTTGCTTTAATCTCATCAAGCAGAACACTGCTAATTACCCACAGACGAGAAGAGAGAGGGATGAAGAAAGAGCAGAACTGTAAGAGCGGGTGTCATTATATGCAAGAAGGGGTGGTAAAAGAGGAAAAGGGGGAGCAAAAGTAAAAGGAGGAGAGACCATACAAGATGTTTGGAGGAAGACGGTGAATACCTATGACTATGATGATAATGTACTAATGTAATGTACAGACTTATGTTTAAGTCATGTTTTGTACAATTGAATGGACTAAAATAGGGCTAAAGCAACTACTAACTGAGCCAGTGTTGAGGTAAAATAAAATAATATCAACCTAAAATATACCATAACAGTGTACAAATACAAAGGCCTTATAGCAGTAACCCTTAAAATACTTAAATAATATTACAATAATATTAATACTATAGTCCATTAAGGTCATTTTCGATAACAGATGAAAGATGGCGCTAGTTGCGTTTGTATAAAATGAGAGTGTGAATTTGTGGTATGAGACGAGAGACAAAGTACTGTGTAATTAAAGCGGTTTTACTGCGTAACCTTCGGTAATTATAGTGTACCTATAACGCACTTACAATATAAGGGAACAATATTGTACGTTTGGGGAATAAAGAGGTAACAACCAGGAAAATTAAAAAAAAATGATTTATACTGTATAGAACTAAGGGGTACTTATTTGACTATTTATGATATAACAATCTTACATTTGGGAGCAATTTAGCAAGAACATACACTGCGTACCTTTTTGAAATAATGGTGAACCAGTACATACTGTAGGCCTATTGGCCGTTTTCAGTTATTTAGCCATATTCAGCATTGTCATGAACTCCATGACATATTAGGAAATGTGCTCTGATCAATAATAAAAGTAAATAAATATGAAGAGAGATTGGTGGAACTATCTAACTTCTGAATACCGCGACTGACCTATCACAATCAAGGTTAGAGAGCTGATTTATAAACGAATGGTCTGGTATTTTGATTTATTTATTTTTTCCTTATTCATTTGTAACTACAAAAGGAGAAAAAACTCTTATTTTGTGTTTCATGTAAGAATTACAGACCTGCAAGTTTTGGGATGACATGAGACTGAATTTTCATTCTTGGGTGAAAAAATCGTTTGATAATAGCTCCTATTCTTAAATAAAAGTGTTTAAATTAAGCTAAGTGAAGTTCCTTCATGTAGTCAGTTTTCAGGCAGCTGGGCCACGGCGGCAGGAAAATATAGTAAGGCACTGATGGATTGTTCTCTCCCAAATACAAACTTAACAGGTGGCTTGCGGCCAAATTTGTGTATGTTATTAATAATGTTTGCCCTTTCAAATACACTTAAACATATTTTTTCATTTACTCAAAGGCCTAGATTTCCAATGCCGTGAACGAGAACAAATCAATTTGAAAATGATTTGGACAGTGTGCATGTGCCTGCGCATACATTACTGAATGGGGTGTCTTAATTGAATGTTTACAGGTAAGTGCTGAGAGTATCCTGAAAATACAATCACTTTGTGGATTTGCTGACATGGCTATTCTATTGTGAGATGCGAGTCAACACCAGAACGTGTTTCAGCAATGTAAATAAATGGAATACAAAGACGCCTTGCAGTTTATTTGTCAATGTCAGCTGTAATGGCCGTCATTTTCACTAAACCATCATTCAGCATTACAAGTACATATACTGTGAAGTAGATTGTAATATTTCATTAACAATGAAGACAGCATGTCACTTTTGGACACTAAATTATTGTTTTAGACAATTTATCATTACCCAGTTATATTTGGCATCTGGTAACTGTTTTGCTAGCATAACACTGATATGGAACTAGTCACTAGGGTGATGTTTAAATCCTGATTCAGCAACGTGACGATCCATACCGAAGTCAAAACGCAGCATTAGCAGAACTCTGAAATTCCTCTGGGATGCTAAAGTTGGTTCTCCCACAGTGGGCGTGTCTCAAGAGATACAAATAATTGGCCATGGCCAAACATACAATCTCTGTGGATCTGGATTCTGTTGTTAAACACACACATTTCAACTGGAAAGTGTCATACTGTTCTATTTCAATAATGTAATTTTGCTGAGTCTGGTGAATTACATTTAGTATATTTTGTGTTTTTGCAGGAAGGTGAGCGATTTGACATCAAATGCAGTAGAAAACAATGGCCTACAACAAGTCTGCAGAGTTTCAAGAATCAGGGGAGGGGAACTTGGGTGAAGTCTTCATAAAACAAAATGATGTCATCTGGGAAACATATTAATCAGGTGAAGAACAGTAGGAAAACTGACAAAACTAAAATGATCTACAGAAAAGTTTATTGAGAAAATGTAACACCTGACCTGTATCTGTAAGAGATGGATTTTATTGCTTAAGGGGGCTGGCATTCTCACAACATGTTTCTAAGGCCCCGTCCACACTACTGCGTTTTCGTTTAAAAACGGAGACCTTTTGCTACGTTTGCACCTCCCGTCCACACTAAAACGGGAAAAACGAAGACCTAAAACGGAGAAGTTTAGAAACGCTGCAGCTGCGTTTTGAATCTCCGGAGGGCGCTTTAGTGTGGACGAGACAAAACGGAGGAGTTTACAAACGATGACGCAGAGCCTCACGCTCGGCTCTATGATTGGGTGTCATCAGTCATGACGTATCTTTCCCTGATTC